TGAACGTAACGTGCAGCTCCACACGCAGGAATGTTCTACGTATAGAGATATTATACCGTCTCAGTCCACGGGATCGTCCTGATTTAGTCAAGTTAATTAACCGGTTGATTAACTCAGATTTAATTCCGTTTCACGTTGTCCCGTCTGTTGAAAGGTGTTTGTTAGTACTAGAACTACCGACAATTAATTTCAATAATTTCTATTATTTAAGTACATTATATATTATATTATAAAGTATATTATATTATATATGTATATATATACATTTTTTTTAAGGATGAAAGGGAAAAGTAAATTAATCGTTTAAATATTGCAATAAAAGTTCAAGAAAAATTTCAGAAAAATATACTTATAAATTCAAGCAATGTTTATAAAAACTTACAGACCAGTCTTTTTGACTATTTTAATTCTATTAGAAAGGATGGAAGAAGTTTAGCAAGTTTCTCACGTGCTCCAATTCAAGAGACATCTTTGGTGTTTCAGTCAAGACTCTTTCTTCGCCGTGGTATTGAATCAATGATTCAAAGGACAGCAATCCCTTAGGACTCGCGTAAGTAAGGGTTTCTGGCGGTGTGACACGGTCTTAAAACGCGATGCGACGCTCGCGTGCATACGCATACGTGCGTATGCGTATCGCCGGATCGTGGCATGCCTCGCGGTGTGGTATCAGACACAACGACCCCGGCGTCCCCGGCCAGGGGACCCGCCGAAGCCGCCGCACTTTCTAAAGACCTTCGCCAGTTTCGCCGAGCTTGTCTATCGCCGGCCGCGAGTACCTCCTAAGACGTATAAGTACTCGCGCGCGTACAATGCCATCCATTAACGGGCGCCCCTGAGATCGGCCTTTCTTTCGACCTATAGCCGAACGGGCGGCGCGGATGATCCACCACACGTTTTCGCTCGAAAACCGGTATCAGAGGCCGCGCGAGCGCGGTCGATCGACTTGCCGCCGCTTTTTAAGCCCGGAGGTAGGCCGACGCGACGTATCCCGCGGCACAATCAGGAATTGTGCCACCTTGGCCGTCAAGAATTTAAAATTCAGTGCGACACGACCACTCGCGTTCTTCGCCGCTTCTCTCAATCCCGGCAACCGGGATCGAATCTTTTATCCAATAATCGCTTCATGGATTGTTAATTATTTACTCCTCTGGCCTCTCGCTTTCTGGCGCGTTTTCGCGCCCAGGGATCTCCGTGATTGCGGGGAAACCGCGTCGTCAGGACGGGACACGATGGTATGCCGCGGTGGCATAACTTCAGCCGTTTCGACATTTCGCCGCATAATCGCCGCGTAGGAAATCATCCTCGCTTTCCGCTCTCGCAAGGGGCTCTCGCAAGCGGCTATAAACGCCGTTGGCCTTCGCGTAACGTCGCGTCGAGAGGACCACAGTGGTATCCCGGTGACGACGTGCGGGCCCCTTATTTGCCGACGATGATGCTCCCCCGCGCGCGCCTGCCTACACGTAGTGACATTTACAACTTGCACCGCGGTGTGAATTACTTATACTCGGACTCGCATGCGGCGGGGACACATCACGTCGCAGCTGCATGCGATTTATCTCATGACATTCGCGAGTTCGTTGAAATGGTTTCGCATCGGGGCTATTATGTCGAGATTGCGCGATCGAAGATCAAATTGAGGGAAAATAGTCCTGACTATATCACGTATGACCTAAAAATCTTTGTGTCAATCGTTGGAGAACGTGGATCGACAGAAGAGCAATTTATATAATCGAAAAATATTGATACATCACGTAGTATATACGTATGTGTACGTATAACGTGAATTCTAAGAACTTGTAATATATGTAAATTAACACACAAATGTAACTTTCAAGTTACATGAAAATTAAATAAAAAAACGGAAAAAACAGTTTTTTATTTTGAAATTCTCCTTGCGAATTGTTACTTCGCGAATTAATTTTACTTGAAATATATTCGTCTTTTTTGAACCTCCAAAGTAAAAAAGTAAAAAGAGAGCGTGTGATTTCTAACAGCGGGATAAGCTTTAAGATCGCTAATATGATTTAAAGGATAAGCTACAAGCACGAGAGGATTAGAGGCCATATTACAGCACGCAGACCTCTTATTCGAGCGCGTATTTCACCGCTCGAGTGGAATCCATCGCATATTGATGGAATTGCCGATCGATCCGCGTAAATTCTTCACAATTGCCCATACCAGCGTTTCCCAACCTGATCTCGCCCCGAAAGCCTTTACAGACCTAGATGCAAAATTGCGAAGCTCCTTTTAAGTCTAACAAGGACACAATAAGAACCTTTCTAAAGCTCGATAGAGAATTTATGTATGGTAAATGCTTCAAGTCTGAACCTCGAGATTCAACGTTAGGACTACCGACAATTAACGTATATCTATTTTTATTATTTAAATAATATGCTATATTGTACATACTACTATATTAATAGTAAATAGTAGTATTTATCAGTGTTTCCCCCTTCCGTTTTCTCGAAGATACATATTTCTACTATTTAAATATATTATATACAACAGATATATCTTCGAAAAAAAAAACAAATATAGTATATTTATATAAATAGTAGACATATGTATCTTTGACAAAAAGAATGAAGGGGGAATATATAAACTGATGAATTTAATCATTTACAATTGCATCAAAAGTCGCGGAAAATCTCAGAAAATGCATCGTTAAAAATTTGATAAAAAATTACAAACTAATTTCGATTGCCTCGATAATTTTAGTGTAAAATTCAAGATTGAACATCTGCCAGTTAATCAAGTCGATATTATAAAGGTATACATCCTAAGGTAATTCCCTATAACGCGAACTTTCCGTCACCGCTTTCCATCGTCGAATATCGAGCATTCGCCGAGGATGAACGAGAACAGGTAGAAGAGGTAAGATATACCTGGCGCTTCCGCGTTTCTCCTCAGGTACGTAAATCTTGTCGCGATTCGCGAACACTCGCGACGTTGATACCGCGGCTTCTATTATACGTAGGAATTCGCCGGGAAACCAACGTCCTACACACGCACACGCATACGCGCGTGCACGGTACACACCGGTGTGTTGCTGCTGCCACCGTCGTTACAATGGCCGAGGTATTTCCTCTAAGAAAACACAAGCATTCTTTGCTCCCTTCCGTTTCGCGAAGTCACCGCGCTGCCTCCAGGAATTCGCGGCCTCGCGGGAAATAACGCGTTAAAAGGAAATTAATCGACGGTTTTAAATACCCCCGTTTCTCCATTCTTAAATTCGCCGTGCGAACGACGACGCTTTCCTCCACGTAGGAAATCCCGATGTTCCGAGCCGGTGACGGAAACGTTAATAATTCGCAAACGAAAGCGAGATTCGTGGAGATACACGCGCCGGAATTAATATTCGCATACGCGTGTGTGTAACATCGGAATTTCGCCAGCGTCAAATATCGTAACAGATACCGCGGGTGCACGTGTATATTCGCCACTCGGCGCTCGGCGTGTTAAATTACTTTCACCGGCCGAATCCGTACGTGCGTGGCGTGGCTGGCACAGGCGACCGAAGCAAAAATCTCGACAAAAATCCCGGCCGAAATTGTCACGAACCTCTGAAGTTGTGGGAATGCAACCCTAACGGAGATACGGCGACCCTTCGAAGATCGAAGAACCATATCGATCTCTCATTTCAGCTATATCGGAATGGAACGACTGGCACTTATATAGATAGCTGTTTACGAATGAAAAAGATTTTTTCGCAACTTTATCACATTCCTGACATACCGTGGGATATCCGAACTATTTTAGATGTTGTCTGAATTACGCATCCGTCATAAGAAAAAAGATTGTTTCGTATCTTCTGTCGAAAATGTCTATTTTCCGTAAAAAAAAAATGTTTTTTATTATAATCCGTAGTCCTTGTATATACTATATTACTATATAGTACTCTACTATATAAT